TCTAAAAATGCAACTGTAAGAAAAATCAATATCTAAGGGGTGAAGAAAAGGAAAGGAAAAACTTTAAAAACTGTCAGAATGTCAAGGAAGAATTAGCATTAAGATAGCGTGAAGAGTTAACCATGAAGACAATATCTAGGAGGATGTGGTCAACAATGTTGGGTTGCTAAGAGGTCCTGTAGGTTGGTGATTAAGAAAATTAGATAATAATTAGAGCTCATTAAAGATCTCTGAGACAGGACTTTTAGAAGATTAATGAAAGGGGTAAATAGGAATCATGTTACCGGGTTAACAGCACATGGCTAAGAAGTTCAGGAAATGAGTGTACGTAACTCTTTTAAGGGCTTGATGTCAAGGAATACGTAACTTGGAATGGTAACTCAAAGGGGGAATAAAATGGAGGAACATTTATTTATTTATTTTTTGTTTGCTTCTAGTTTATTTTGTTTTCTTCTTAGGGATAAGGAAGAATCCCATCTGATGGGATGGGAATGTGTGAAGATAAAGGAGAAAAGGAAGAGAGGGTATGTAGAAATAAATGGAACCCCCAGTGGAAGAGTCTGCCTTGGAAAGGAAGAAATTTCCACCTTCTTCTGAGAAGGAGAGATGAGGAGAAGATGGGTAGGGGAGGGGAGATATTACCATAGAAGAAACTGTAGGAGGTGAGGTCGTTGATAAGGGTAGTGAAGGCAAGCGTGAAACAGATATAAATAGAGTGGAAAATATTCTGAATAATCATGTAGAGAAAATGGACTCAAGTTAGGAATTTAAAAAATATGCAGGAGCTTTGAAGCTTACCTTATTTAATGAGAGAAGCACATATGCCAACTTCAAACCAGATTTAAAATTGGATCAATGTGCTATACAAATTCTTTAGTTATATAAACCTAATAGTTGAAGACATCTTCTTCTATTGCAGCAGAAATAAAAAATATAAATCTTTATATAACTTATGTGTTAAGTTCTCCCTTAAATTCTTGCTTGGATGAAGGGTACAGAGAGAACTGTGGCTTCTATGTCTAGCTCAGGAAGTGATCATAAAGATTTCTTCCATTTGTATAGGGCTTTATTGTTTAGAAAATATGTTAACTCATGTTACCTTACATTCCAAAAGGACTGGAAGGAAGAAAAATCTTGAGTGTAAATCACACTGGAAAAATATTTTTGGAGAAGGGAAAGAGTCTCTCATGCTGTATAACTGACATTTCCAGAAAGCATAGAAAAGAGGGCCGGGTGTGGTGGCTCCAGTTTGTAATCCCAGCACTTTGGGAGGCCGAAGTGGGTGGATCACCTGAGGTCAGGAGTTCCAGACCAGCCTGGTCAGCATGGTGAAATTCCATCTCTATTAAAAATACAAAAGTTACCAGGCGTGGTGGCGCATGCCTCCCAGCTACTAGGAAGGCTGAGGCAGGACAATCGTTTGAACCCGGGAGGTTGAGGTTGCAGTGAGCAGAGATCACGCCACTGCACTTCAGCCTGGGCGACAGAGTAAGACTTTATTTTAAAAAGAAAAGAAAAGAAAAAAAGAAAAGAAAAGGAAAAAAGAAAAGAAAAGAAAAAGATGAATCCTCAAGGGCAGCTCAGAGTTCTTCTAAGTCCTTGTTAAAGAAGCCTGTTCCAGGTTAGGCACATGTTCTTGGGATTTGATATTTTGCCAGTGGAAATATTTCTTTCTCTTTGGATTTATGTAGGATGCCCAGAATGCTCGGAGCTTCTTGAAATCTCAATTAGGGCTTTTACATAGTATACCAATAACAATTTCTTACACAGCTTTGAGCTCTTTTCCAGGAATGGGGATGAGGTTTTGCATATAAAGCCAATTTTTTGTGTAAACATTTTGAATCATCTGGTTGACATTTAGGTTATTGATTCTTACTATCAGAATCACTAGCTACAGAGTTCTGAAGGATTGGTTTTGGCCTTGACACTCTTATCAAAAACTGAGCAAACAGCACTGTAGAGGGCTCTTTAGGGCCTTATCCACTAGTTTCTAATTCTCCTCTTTCACATTTATTACTTAGGAATGTGGCTTGTTGGATTTTCCTTATTTAGAAGGTTTGTTTATAATAATCACTTTATGTTTTACATCCTTTACAGTTTTATATATTCTATTTTTCTCTTAGTGAATTCCTACGAAGTATTCAGGGAAGGGCAATGCTATTTTTTTCAACAGAAAAATAATCCTGTGGTGAAGATGATTTGCTCAGGGTCTTACAGCTAGCCACCAGGGAAGCCAGGATTTGAACCCCCATCGTCTCATACCTGCTTTTAACCTGACATTTTGATGCCTGTGAAAGTCATGGAACTTGATTTTAGAGTAATAACAGAAAGGAATTATATTTATGTTAAATAGAATAAGATACACTTTCCATTTTTAATGTCTAAAATGGTTGAATATTGGCAATATCCTGTAGTTCTACCCAATATAGACAGCTGAGTACTGTGGGGAAATAGTGTAGATTTTAGAGTCTGACTAGCCTAAGCTAGAATCCCAGCTGCATCTCATGTCAGAATTGAATTACTTCTATATTGTTTAACTTTTCTAAGCCTTTGTTTAACCTTCCTAAGCCTTTGTTTCCTCACTGTAAAAAATGGTTGAGAATGGTACCTCCTTTAAAGGTCCTTATGAAGAGCACACAGTGCCATGTCTGCAAAAAACCTATCTCAGTATATGATGCATAGTAAGTTATAAATAGAACACAGCAAATATTATTGCAAATAAGGGATTAACAAATACCAAACTGGAAAGCAAAAGGAGCATTTTAATTGTTTGTTGTATGTTTAATATTGTATTTTAGATAAGAAAAAATTTGTCATTCTTCTTAAATACTGAATACTATTTTTTAGTACTGAGTGCTATTTTTTAATTTGTAGATTATTTGGCTATGTGTGGGAGAAGAAGGACATTATTGATCATTTCTATTTTCTGTCTCTTACACATATTTTCTTTTTTTCTATAATAAATAAGAAGTGTTTTTATAGTGGATATGAAGCTATAAGATAAAAATTGGTTTAAGCATTAAATGATAAAATATTAAGAATGTGAAAAAGGGACAACTTCCTAAAAAAATTGATAGCCTCTGGCTGAACAGGAGAGTTTGATATTTAAAGTAAAAATCCGTGTACATCTTCCATCTGCTCATGTGCATTCACTCGGTCATTTATACATTTATTCATTCATTCAGCAAATAATATTTAAGTGCCACCATGTTTCAGGAACTGTGAGGAGATTAAAAAAAGATGGAATACTTAATTCATAATGGGTTATTGATGACATCTTTTCCTCAGAATATTGAAATACCAGGAAGATGCACCCATCTTGGGCAGTCAGATGTGTATACTTTACATGCACATTTGAGTTCACTAAACAAGAATAGGAAATAGAAACTCAGCTTCAGGAAAATAATAGATTATTTCCATCATACATTCAATGGCTACTGGAAGACTAACTTATAAAGATATAGGTGGTATATTTGCCATTGAAAAATCTTACAAAAATGCTAATAGGTACTAACTGTCATTAAAACACTGAATGTTATTACTAAAGAAACTAATAATTAAGGGAATTCATGCAAGGAAAAATAAAATTATAGGTTTAATGGAAAGAATGTTTACCTTAGGATAGAGAAACGCATAACTAAAATTTGAGAAATCTTTGAAATGATGAACAGTCATTGACCTGTTACGGGTTCTGCACTGTGCTTGCCAAAGTGCCCAAAGAGTATATTTCCCTTTCTCTTTTCATGGTGTAGGTCAAAGTAAAAACATTTTCTCATTCAATGTTTTAAGTTTTGGTTAAATGGCATTGGCATTTATTGATTTTTCAAACATTGTGATTAGAAAAAAATAGATTTTTTTCAGATGGTATCTGCAACATAATTGGCAGCTGAATTTGAATTCTGCTTTTGCCCTAATTAGTTGTATAATCTCAGGCCAGTCACTGGACAGTTCTGAGCTTCAGTTTTCTCATCTATTAATTAGGCACAATGATTTCTAAGATACAGGATAGTTGTAAGGATGAGTGTTGTGAGATAAAGAACATGTCTAGGACAGTATCTAGGACACAGAAGAGACTCAAATGTTATCCCTTTCATTCAAAAAATATTTGATGCATGAAATGTGTGGTTTTCAAAAAATTGCTGCTATTTTATTTCTACTTTTAATTATTTCTTAGAATCTTTTTTTCCTCCTTGGAAATATGTAACCAAGTTTCCGTACAAGTAAAATGGGTAATAAGATTTAATTCTTTAATTTTATTATTTTTTCCAGCTGTTGTTTTAGAAAAATGTTTATTTTTTTAAAACAATACGTGATCTTGGATGTCTGCAAACATTTTTTCATGATACAAGGAGACATCAATACCAACTTGTCCTTCATTCAACATTTATTAAGTACCTACTGTGCTCCAGGAATGATTCTGGGACTATGTACACAGTGGTGAATGAGACAGACATGGTCTCTGCTCTCATGAAGTATGAGAAGTGCCATAAAGTAAAAAAGACAGGGTGTTGTGATAGAGAATAATAGGGAAGTACAACTCTGGATTGGGTGGACAGGGAACTCCTCCCTGAGGAAGAGACATGTCAGTTAAGATGGAAGGAATAAGAAAGAGCCAGCCATGAGAGAGTGATGAAGAGTAGTAAGCCAAATGCCCTAAGGTCAGAAAGATGTGTATGAGGAAATGATAAAGGTCAGTGTGGCTGGAGCACAGGAAGGCTGGAAAAAGTAGTGTGTGAAACAGCAAAAGACTAGCCCTGGAACTGATCATGCAGGGCCTTGTAGATCATGGCAAAGAGGATGGCTTTTCCTTTAAACATGGGAAAGCTATTGATAGAAAGTCAAAATTATAAAAGATCTGTCCCCTGTGATGTGATTTAGAAACATGAGTTAGGGATGATCACAGCTTGGACTAGGTTGGTGACATTCTCTGTGAGATGCACAGAGAAGCAAGTAGAAGAGTCATCTGTTTTGAAGATAAAAAGTATAGGGTGCTAGTGAGCCATTGGCCTGGTGGTCCCAGAGTTATCCTGGCAGCCAGTGGGGAAGACAAGGAGGGTTTGAGCATGGCAGAAGGAGACACCCTGAGAGTAGTGGATTACAATATTTTTGGGAAGGTGCAAGGGGTGTTTTTCCATAAGCATACTCAGGCTGAGGGTAAAAGGCTGGGATTGGTAGGCTGGGTCCAGAACACTGACCGGAGCACAGTGCAAGGACAATTGCAAGGTCCCATCTTCAAGGAGCGTCATATGCAGGAATGGCTTGAAACAAAGGGAAGTCCCAAATCACACATCGACAAAGCCAACTTCAACAATGAGAAAGTCATCTTAAAGTTGGATTACTCAGACTTCCAAATTGTAAAATAATGGCCTGAATTTAAGTTTTCTAAGATAAACTCAGTGGTTTGGTTTTTATTGTTAATAGAGATAGAACTATTGTGTGTTAATATTAGCATTAGTCAATAAGTTATTTTAGTGTCAGTTATTTGAATGTTATTATATATTACCTATATGATGGAAGGATTACAATTATACACAAATCTAATCAATAAAAACATTAGAACCTAAATATATATATATAGGCTTTTCCTTTTTTTTCCTAGCATGAAATGGCTATGAGAGCTAAAGGAGATAGATGAATTCAGAATTATTTTGCAAGTTTCTGGCTTGAAAAATTGGATCGTTCTTGGTATCATTTGCTAAAATGGGGGGAAGTGAAGAAGGAGTAAGATGATTATATTTTGTTTTCGGTGAGGGAAGATTAAAAGTTCTGTGTGGAGCATGTTAAACTGGAAATACCTGTGAGACATTCAAGTAGAGACAGCAAGTTGGCAACTAGTTCAGAACACACCATTCACTTGCTCAAACCCTCTATTGGTTCGTATCCTCGTTAGAATAAAATCTAAAGTTCTTATAATGGCTGACAAGTCTTGTTTTGGCCTCTACTCTCTTCTCAGATTCCATCTGCCTGCTTTCTTTCCCTCATTCACTCTGCTTCAGGCACATTTGTCTTCTTACTCATCACGGAAACTTGCCATGCCGTTCCTGTTTCAGAACATTTGAACTCACTGTTCTTTGTGCTAGATAGCCTCTTCCCACGATCTTTGCTTGGCTCTATGGCTTACTCCATGCAGGTCTCTGATCAAATATTACCTCTTTAGAAATTTCTCCCTGATCTCTCAACTTGAATAGCTTCTACCTTCAACTTCAACACTCTATCCCCATATCCTGCTTAATTTTTTCCCTAGCAATGAATGCTTCCAACATATATGAATATTTTACTTTATTTTGTTTGTGACCTGATTGCCCACTTAAAAATAAGCCCCATGAAGGCAGGGACTTTGTCAACTCTCCGTTATATCTCCCGTACCCAAGATAATACCTAGTATATTGTGGATACCCAATAATTGAATAAATATTAACTGAATGAATGATTATGATAGTCAGAGTGCATAGGAATTGTTGCAACTAGAATGTGCATGTGGGAGCCAAGTAGATGGTATGTGAAACTCCAGTGATAGCTGAGATGATCCAGGGAGAGTATGTATTATGAGTAGGGGTGTGCCAAAACTTAGTGCTGACAGACTCCCAACATTCAGAGGTTGGATTGAGGCAGCGAGGGAGGGTCAAAGCCAATGGAGACTAAAGAGTGACAATAAAAGAAGACTGGAAGATCTGGGAGGTAAACCAGGGGAGCACAGAGGCATGATTCCAAAAAGAGAGTGCTATAGGATGGTGGAAGCAATCCCTTTTCACAAGATCTTTCTCCAACAAAGTTATTTATTAACTGTCACGTTATTACTGAGTTAATTTCTTGGCATAAGTAAAACCTAGTCATACATAGACTATTCCTTATACATGCAGATAAAGTATTCAAATAATTAATTGATGTTGTACATCATAATTACAGTCCTTTTATCAATCTCTTTTCCTATTACTGTTTATTGAGATACCTATTTACCAAATATGTACAAATATCTTTGTTTTTAAACTGCTCCATAAGATTATTTTTGTTCCTGCTGCCTGCTTTTTGTCGTTGTTTGATATCACCATGTAGTTGTGATGAAAAACTGGATCGAGGGTAGGAAAGGGAAATGGTGAAGTCAAAGTAGCATCGGAATAGTTCATTTAGCTTTTAGAGACAGGCTACTAAAGAAAATGGTGTTGCCACTGATTACTTATGTACTAGTATCCTGAAAGCAACAAATACAGTATAGTAAGATCATAAAATCTGCTCAAAAATAGTGGGATAGATATTAATATTTAATCTACTCTACCAATATAGATGTAATAAATCAACCTTTCAGCTTGGGTGTTACTTTAAAAAGTCTAAGTTTGACGTGATTTTCCAAAACATCATCAAAAAATTAATTTTACTTCATTGTTGGTGTCACCAAATAATTTCCTTCATTTTGAACTACTTCAAGAAGGTTTTTAAGAAATAGAGCCAAACACACATTTTCATGGTTGATTTTATCTGTCTTCTAATATCCTGACATTTCGTTACTCAGAAATGTATTTGAAGCCACAGTCACCTTGGCCACTGGTAAATGCCTGTTATTTGCTTCTTTCAGAAGAAACTGTCTTTTCAGTTTAGGCATCAAATACTGTTTCAACACTTTTCTTTGCCATGAAGAAAATGCTGCACTCTGGCATTATGGCAAATCATATACAATTACAGATTTTGCCTGAAGTTATTCCTTACTGGTCCAGGAATTGCTTATATTGCATAGGAAACAGCTTAAGTAAAGTCATACAATTAATTAATATTAAATTTAAGATATCAACAAAATGGTTTCTCTTATAATTATTGTTTTGGATACAGGTAGGACAAAGTGTTCTGAATTTGTACCTTCATATAATTTTAGTTTGAAAATGTAAGGAATAAAGACCTAAAAACCTTGAGTCTTCTTGCTGTACATGGAGACTGTTCTCTCTCTCTTCCTTTGCTCTTTCCTCTTTATCTTTTTCTCTTTTGTTTCACAAAGATTTAAAGTCACACACAAAGATATTAAAAAACAAGTTAAAATGAATGTTAGACCAGCAAGACATGTGACACAAAGCAAAAAATAAAGGGCAAGAGAGTAAAACTAAATTAGGAGTGAGATTAAATCCTCAAATTGTAGCTACAAAACCCCAAGTACTTGTTAGAGGTAGACAGTCGATGCGAAACTAGGGCTTCTAACTGGCAATGTGAGGAAGGAAACACAGTATGTTTTTTAATAAGGGGAAATAATCTGGTATCCTAGGTTAATCACCATTATTCCTTACAGGGAAAACAGAAAGATTTCTACACTTGGTCCTTATAGAATGGAGACTGTGTAGTGTAGTGAACAAAGTTCTCAATAGCATTATCAGAGATTAACATAGGAATTATTCTCATATTGCCTTATAGCATTAAGCCAAAGTACAACTCAGTAAAAGAAATTCAGACCCATCGGGGTGGGGGATTAGAGGGGTACTTTTAAAGTGGCCAAGGTGAAATGCCTCCTAGTGAACTATTATTTAGATTAGATAATATTTAGATGAATGGTAAGCTTTATATCTTCTATGGCAGTGATCTTCAAACTACAGTTTGCATCTGTTAATGGGTAAAATTATTTCAGCACATTGCAACCAACTTAAAAAAAATAGAATAAACAAGAATAGTTTGAAACTGAAAAATCAGAGTGTTTTGATAAATATGTTAATATTTACTTCCATTGTGTGTACTGGGTCATGATGCAAAATGTACCTCCCAGTGTGGGTCTATTTAAAGCGTTTGGAACATGCTGCACTGAGGTAATTTTCATAGATTATCTTCTTTGCCTGATTTTGGGGAAGGTATTGCTTGGGAGTAACACAGATTATACCTCTTTGCAAGCACCTTGAGAGCTGCAATTCTGAGTTCAATTGTCAGTTAGGGCCCAGAGAGATGGGAATGGAGAGAGAAGTATTGAAATGCATTAGGAGAAATGGAGATTACTGATCTACACCGCCAAGTGTTGGTGAATCAAGACAGCATGCACCAGGGGTCCAGCAGACTTTGTTGAAACGAAAGAAAAACCTATATAATTGAATGCATAGCTTAGTATGGAGCATCTGCTATAACCCAGTTAAAAGTTGGAAGTCATCCATCCAAAATATTAATTTTGGGTCTTTTTTCCAGTGATTTCACTGCAGGTCCAGTGATAAGTGATAAGATAACTGCATAACTGTGATAAAGTAACATCATGTACAACCACAAGATTAACCCTAGAAAAGAATACCCTTTCTTTCCACAAGGCAAGTCTCACTGATGCAAAAATCTATTTTCACTCCTGAGAATTTGATTAGATTTCGCCAACCACAATTAGAAAACTCAATCTTTTTCATTCTCACACGCTTCAAAAGTAATTGAGTGTTGAAGTGCTACAATTAGCAATGCCTCAGAAAATATGACTTCATACATGGTAATTTTACATTCCATTTGCCTCATAATTAAACCCAAGAGATATCACATAAGGGGAGGTTATAACAGCAAATGTCTTGTAAGATCTTCTACTTTAAATACGTATGTATATACATACACACATCGTGAATCATATTTTTCTCTGATCTTGCCTTATCTACCATCTGTAAGCTCCCTAAGGTCAAAAACAATGTTCTGTACTTTTTAAAAGAAAAGGAGTTTACTCAGATATAATCTATGTAGAGTAGAGTTCACCTTCTCATGTATAGAGTTCTAATGAACTTTGACAAATGTTTGCCGCATTCTGTAACCACCACTGAAATCAAAGTATAGAGATTTTCCATCACCACCAAAGGGTTCCATGTGGCCTTTTGTAGTTATCCTCCTTCCAGGCTCACAGTCCTTGGTAACCACTGATCTGTTTTGGTCCAGTTTTGTCTCTTCCAAAATGTCATTTAAGTTGAATCATATGATATACAGTATTTTGAGTCTGTCTTTGAGAATCATCCATATTGTGCATGTATCAGTCATTCATTCCTTTGTAATGTTGAGTTGTATTCCATTATATGCTGCTGACTTATCCATTCACCAGATGGACAGTTATTTTTTTTTGATTTTTAGTGGTAATAACTAAAGCTGATGTAAATATTTATACACAGGTTTTTGTGTAGAAATATGCCTGGGTTTCTCTTGGTTAAATGTCTAGGAGGAAGATTGCTGGCTTATGTTGTGAATGTACATTAACTTCATAAGAGTAAGCTCTTTTCGACTATAATCATTTCTCAGTTATTTTTGCCAACGATCAATGCAGATATGGAGGAAACTGGGTACATGTAAAGGGACAAACCACCTATCAGCTATTAATTCCAATGAAATTATTACTGGAAAACGTGGGAATTTGACTGAGTTTGCCTTCTACCTCAATGTCTTTGTTTACTATGAATTGGCTACCAATAAACAGTGAAATCACCCAAGGGCAGTAGAAAACAAGTTAGAAAAGCAACTGAAAATCTGGTACATCCATAAATTGGAAAATAAATGTCTCAAGAAGTAAGAATTAGCTATTAGCTTAAAAATCATGCACAGTTCTTACTTTTATAATCTTCATACTCTGAGGTAGAAAATTGGCAATATTT